GTGTGTGTGTGTGTGGAAAAAATTGTGCAGAACATAATATTTGGCAGTAATCTTATACTAGGATTAAATATGGGCTTACCGTGTGGCATAATTGTATCATAAATTTAGGTTGATTTCATACAGTAATCATATACTCTACAGTACATGTTACAATAAATATACACACCATTGTGGTGGAGTCGTAACAGAAAAGGAATGAAAAAAAAATGAACAACATGTAATACTAAGTCATTCATGGGTCTTACATTTTCATTATTTAAATTTTAATATCTTTATTATACACCCCATACCCACCCTGTGGGTGGTAGTCAAAGGTTTACAGAGGTACATAATGGGTCCAGGAACTGGATCGCAAGTTTTGATAGCTGAACAAGTTTACAGTGGTAATGAACATTTACATGTTTATATCTAGCTACAATCGTAATGAGTTATTTATGTAGACATGAATAGGTCAAGCAGCATGAACAATGATGAACAGGTTAATGCTTAATGCTGTAAAGTAAACGAGATATGAAAGGCCCCATCACACATGAGAGCTTAACTCATCACTATATATAGAAATTTCTCGATGCTCCACAAACCTGTATAAAGCTTTCTGACGTTTTCTTTGTTTTTTCCGGGTGACGAAATATTGTTACAAAGAACAAAAAATCTCCCCCCATAGAGGGGACTAACATCCAGTTCAGTAAACTAACAAAGTTTCCTATTTCTCCTGGACAACGGAGACAAGACACTGGACAGCACGGAGACCACTGTACTTGAGGAAATACCATCATCCCTCAAAGATCATAACAGCACGGAGAACATGGCCAAAAAGAAAACTCGTCCAACTCTCGAGGCTCAAAAGGCTTTCGTTTCAGTCTTGACAGACGAAGAATTCATTTTTTTGGGTTCAGTCTTGGAGGTGCTTCGGAGACGCGTTATGGAGCTGGTGGATTATTCAATAATAACGCTGGAAGAGGACTCTGAAGGGGGCTAACTGGGCTGTGGGGAAAGCAAGACGAACACCTGCTGACTCTGGTTGAGATTTGCCGTTACCTCGAAATCGATTGTCAA